GGCGGCGCGCCGCTCGAGCGGCTCCTGCCGGTGCCTTCGCCCGAGCAGCGGCTCGAGGCCATAGAGGCTGCCCTGCACAAAAACAGGTGCGGGGCGGGTTTTTTCCGCCCCCCGCGCGCAGAGCGCCCCCCGAGCCCCCCTCCCCCTCGTACCCCTCTCCGGCGGCCCCGCACGCGGGGCCCTCGCGCACCTCCTGTTGTGATGGTCATAGGGGATGGCCATCGCTATCCCCGGCCCGGACCGCAGATTTGAGTTACACAGGGCCGCCTTCTTGCACCGGTCTGCTCGCACTTGCCTTTCCCGCCTTTTCTCACCTCTGCCTGGCCCGCGCCACTCACCCGTTATCGGCCCGCCAGGCACCTTCAGTCGAGCCTGCGGCGCCTGTTGGGCGCAGTGGATGGCGCCGTCGAGGCCAACTGGCAGCAGCAGCTGCGCGTGCGGGACGACTGGCAGGCGTGCAGGCGGCGCTACGCGGCGCTTTACTCGTCGTCAGCGCGGACAGGTCGGCGGGTGGACGGATGGCGGGCGGATGGGTGGGGGCAGGGGCGCCTCGGGGCGCTGCATGGGCGAGCCAGGGCCGGTGGGCGCGCTGCTTGCGCTTGGGGCCGCTGCGGTGGTCCGCCCTGCTTGTGCTTACACGCTTTCACGGCTCCTTTCGGTGGAGGATCTGACCTGTACTGGCAACCTGAATTGACGCGTGCTTGCCACACCCACCGAGCCGTAATCTCGCTGCTCCCTGACCCCCGCCCTGCCTCCCGCAAACCCATGCCCCCCCCCCCCGAGCAGCCAGCCTGCTCAAGCGCAGCCTGCTGCAACCCCACGAACGCCTCAGGGGCCACACCGGCGCCCCAAACCCGCTGCGGTCGCGCCACTGGGTCGGCACCTTCAACACCGGCGGCACGGCCGCGCCCGCGCCCGCGCCCGGCCCCGCCCCGGTGCTCTCTGAGCCGGGCGCGAGCGGCGCGGAGGGCGCGGGCGAGGCGGTGCCGGCCGGGGACCCGGGCCTGCAGATGGGCGCGTTTGCGCTGCGCTTCCTGCCGCCCAACTCGGAGGCGCGGGAAGTCGCGGAGAAGCTGCCCTTCCTGCAGAAGATGCTGGACGGCCAGCTGGGCAGGTGGGGGCTCGCCACGTGGCTGTGCGGCAGCTTCCTCGTGCTTACTTACTTGCGCATATCGGGACGTGCATGCATGTGAGGCGCAGCACTAGTGCGCGCCGTGCGCACGCGCCATGGACACACGCGCAGGCGCATCCGCACCACACATGCCTGCGTGCAGGTGGGGGGATCACGAATCAGCAACACTAGATGCGGCTGTGCGGCGCATGGCAGGGGCCGTCCTGTTCAAGAGAGAACTGGAGGTTAGTGTGTGTTTATATCTACCCAATTATGGAGTTGTGTGCAATACGGCGTCGCTGCTTTGGGATAGATGGCCTAGGGTGTTCGGATTGTCGCAGGGCAAGCTGGCTGGTACGGGTGTTGTAAGTCGCCCCTGTCGCATGCCGCCGCGTTCGCTGCGGCGCGCCCTCAGCATGCGCAGCAACAACCCCCCCCTCCTCCGCGGCCGCGACACCTGCGCCTACCACCGCCCGCGCCGCGAATTCGCAGGCCCTGGAGCGGCGCCCAGACAGCCAGCTGGCGGCGGGGCTGGAGGAGTTCAAGGCAAAAACGCAGGCGCTCGCCCAGCTCGACGCCTCGTCCCGCGAGGCGAGCGCCCGCGTCCCCCGCTTTTTTCTCTCCCACAAACTTGGCCCGGCAGCGAAGCGGGCGCGGCGCACTGGGGGGCGGCAAAGGGCAGGCTGGGCGCGCTTCAAGCGTGTGGCGCAGGCACCTCCTCTGGGGCCTGTATCGGTCGGCTCCGCCCTTGCATGCTTGTCGCCCCCCCCCCCCTCCTCATCCACCATGCATCCCCTTTCTCCCTCCTTGGAAAGAAATGGCCCAAACCGCAGGCAAAGCATCGGCGTGCCCACGCTCCCACACGCCCCCCACACCCCCCCTGCGCCGCGCAGATCCAGCAGGCGGCGGCAGAGCTGACGCCCCACGAGTGGAGGGCCGTAGCCGTGGCGGTCGGCCGCGGCCGCACGGGGCCGGAGTGCAAGGAGCATTGGTTGGCGGCGCGGAGTGAGGGCGCGACGCGGCCCTGGGGCCCGCAGGAGAGGCAGCTGCTCATGTGCGCGGCCGCGGGGCGACGAGGGGGCCTGGGCGGATCATGGGGGGGAGGTGCACTTGGACGGGGGGAGGATAGTGCCTGATCCTGGGAGTGTCACTCAGCAAGGTGGCGGGCTCGGCGGAGTTAAATATGTTGTGGCTCATCAAGCCACTCATCACCAGCCACACGCGTCAGCGGCCGCAGGGGGCGTGCCTGCGCCCCACCGTCCGGATGCCTCCTGTGCCAGCGCCTTGGGCCCCTGCCCTCAAGCCGTGACAATTGTCACACTTGCATGGATGCAAGCCACCCAATTTCCAGACCCCACCACCCCCAACCCCCACGGTCTGCTCCGCCCTGCCCTCCTCCCCATGCACAGGCAACTCGTGCAGCAGCACGGCCGCAACGGCCAGTGGGAGGCGATTGCCGCGGCCCTCGGCACCGGCCGCCCCGCCAGCGCCTGCCTGCGCTTCTTCGCCACGCAGCTCGGCGGCGCGGCGGCCGCGGCGGCCGCGGCGGCGGCGGCGCCTGTGTTCACCCCTCAGATGGACGATGAGCTGCGGCGGTTGGTGGAGGCAGTCGGGCCGAGGTGGCGGCTGATCGGCCAGAGGATGGGCTTGAGAGCAAAGCAGGTGGGCGGCAGGTGCAAGAGGAGACCCTGCTGTGGACGGCCTGCAGGGGTGGGCCGCTGCTCTGCGCTCGGGAGGCGGGGCCGGCCCTAGCTGCACGTGCGTGCCCGCTTGCGCCCCCGCAGCACGCTCCTGGGCCCAGCGAGGCGACAGTCGACCCCCCAAATCCATCACGCCCTACCGCTCGCCGCCTCTGCTGGCGCCGCGGCCCCGCCGCCCTGCCTCCGCCTCCGCCCCTCTTCTCGGCCCCGGCGCTTACGTCACCACTCGTCATGCTGACGTCATCGCGCGCGCAGGTTTACTGGCGGTGGGACAAGGTGCTGCGGTGCAGCCCCTTGCACACGCCATGGTCAATCTCGGAAGATCTGCTGCTGTTGACCAACACAGCCCGTATGGGGAAGCGCTGGGAGCGGATCGCGCAGGTGTGCAGGGGGTCCACGCGGGCTGCGGCCGGCCGCGGGGGGGCTGGGTGGGGGGGACGTGGG